ATTTGAGACATGACCAATAGATTGGGGGAGGGGGAGGCCAAGGAAGTGACAATTTTTCTTGGCTTGACCGAATACATTTTGCTGAAATTTCCAAAGGAAAATTTGCATCTTTCATTGCTATTCTTTGTCCAGGTTACACTCCTTTTACCACACCAAAAAAAAAAAAAATCACACCTATTTGCAAAGGTGAGACAGCCATTTGGCTGGTACTTTCTTCTTTTATTGGATGTAAAAATCTATCTATTTCCCAGGCATTCCCTGTCCTGTAATCTTCAGGCAAACTGAATTTAATAGTAGAAGTCCAGCCATCTCATGAAACATAATTCATGCATTTTGACCCGGTGGGATACTATACTGTATATGGATATCCTGTCTCTATTTACAAAATGTGCAAGACATTTTATGTCCCCTTGATTGCTAATATTTTCGCAATACATATCCATGCCTTAATTTGATATAATTGCTGCAACTAATCAAGTTTATGGGGAATTTTTTATAAAAATCTAAAGGTACTTTATACTACATGTACAGAAATGGTTTTAAAATGTTAGACAATGTAATGTGCTATTGCTTTGTCAATTCAAGAGCTGCTATCTTGTAAATATTCTTACTGATACAGTTTTATTTCAGATTTAAGAAATGCCAAGCACCACCATGTTGTCAAAAAGATTAGTACTCCAAAGTAAATTGTAAAATGTTAGCAGTCAGGCTGGGATGATATGTAAGGGTAAAATTGCAGATAATACTAATCTTGTTGGAGATAAGAAAATGTCTGCCACCTGGACAGATGAGCAGTTGCAGTTAAAGGGACACTCCAGGCACCAAAACAACTTCATCTAAATTAATGTCGCCGGGGAGGGCAAACGGTTTAACCCCTTGAGGTAGGAGTGCTTCCAGGGGCCTTCTGGCACCACATCAACTTTATTTAGATTAAGTTATTTTGGTGCCTAGAGTGTCCCTTTAACCTGCCTGAATTTGACTAGAGATTTTTATTTATTTTTTTGTCAGTCATAAATCCAGACTGGATTTACAGGTTTTTCAGCCAGAAAAGGATTCCACAGGGCCTTAGACAGGTTACCAGTGTGCCCCCCAATTCTTCATATAAGTATGGAAAGAAAGAAGCCAAGCAAATTCATGGTTCCGTTACCCCTGTCAAACTCCTGGGCCCAAGAGTCGCCTTATGCTTTATCCTGCTCTGCTATTAGCATATTACTTATGGCTTTTTTTTGTTAAATGTTTCTGATGCTGATTTACATATCTTCCAAAAGCTATGACCTCTTATTTTCAGTTTATTTTTGGTTTTTATTTTTTACTTTGTAAACTTGAACATTCTCCTCTTACCACCGACCAGACAGGCTAGACAAAGTTTCTTCCTAAAATGTGTTTACGTTAGTTTGACATTTTAGAGAAACACTTATAGTGCTAGAAAAATAGGGCTAGTCACAAATTATATAATAATGCTAGTCTTTCTCTCTAATAGAGTCATAGCATTACTTAGTGACACAAATTGTATTTGTTTTGTAAGCATTCATTATATACTTTTCTCTGTAATTAACAATGTTTTACTGAAAAATCCACTAAAACATGCATTAAAAAAAATGTTGGGCTCACCCTCACTTAGCCAGCTTGGACTGTACTGTAAAATAAGAAAAATCCTTGTAAGATGTTGCTGAGAGAGGAGGAGGCAGTAATTTTTAAAAATCATTGGACTTCTAAGCCCCAGTGTACAATGACAGGGCATCTCTCTGCACCATCATATACACAATGAACATGCAGTGAGACAGCCCTTTTAAAGAGTAAGCATTTTAGCTTACTCTCTTTTCGTATGAATATATTTTATTTTATTTTTACATAAATAAGAAAACTTTACAATTACCAGTCACAGTGCCTGGCAGTTCAGTGTTGCTGTTGAGAGATTAAAAGAACATTCTAAGCACAATTGCAAGCCCAGTGTAGCATGCTGTATCCTCTCAGCCAATGAGCTAAGCCCTGCACTGCCACACCAAACTCAATAAATGGGGTTTAAATTTTTTTTATTTATAACTCTAGTGTGTTCCTTTAAGGTGTAGTGGTTTTGGTGCTTAGAGTGCGCCTTTCTTCTGTTATGAAGGTATTAAAGTAATGTATAAACTTTAAATGGCAGATTTTATGTGTAGTTTAGGTAGATGTGTACACTGTGTTTAAAGCAATACCGATGTTCTCTATGATACTTCCTCTGCCATCAGCATGTCTTTATATTGGAGTATTGTCGACCCGATGTTGATAAATAGATAATGGGCATGCTTAAACCATTTCTCCCTTTAGCAATCTTTCATGCATCATATGGCTGTACTGGTGAATGGCTAATGAATACACTCCACGTGGCTTTTAAAAGTGTCCAACTGTACATTTATTTTCTCTGAACTTAATGATTAAAGTGAAATATGATGAGAGTAGATGTACAGTAATTTGTATTGTTGAGCCCAAACTAAGCAACAGGCAGAATTTAGAGAAAATTATTATTAATAGAATTGTGCTCTATAATATGGTCGTCCTTTTAAATTTCTTAAAGTAAAGAAATAGAAACATGTAATTTATAATCTGTTACTAATTATTTTATATTGGTAGATTAATTATTTACTTGTGAATTCGCCAATACATGCTTTGGTAGTGTTAAAGCCCTGTTTCTCAGTATGTATTACACACACTCCAAGGAGTACTTTTGCCATAGACGAGGGTGCCCTGACTTTCCATGAGCTGGAGAGGCAGTCAGACGATCTCCTTGACTGTCCCTGCAACCTCTTACAAGGCCAGCAGTGGTCATGGAGGCTGAGTGTGCCTGTATGTGGTGTCTGAACTATGTGTGTGAAATGGAGTCTTGAGTGTATAATCCCTAGTGGTCCAATGGAGTGCACACTGTGATGCTAGATCCTGGATGATCTGGTGGGGGGAGCATTGTGGTATACACCTCTCAGTCACGGAACTTTCTCAGTGACTCAGAACGCTGCTATGCATGAATCATTGAGAAGTGCCAAGTGTCTATGGGGGATCTCCTAGTGTGATCAGCACCACAATGGTCCCTTAAAGGTAGTTAGGGGGCAGAGGGCCAAGCATTAAAATTGGTTGTAATGTGTCTGATGAAATCAAATAAAAAGATTTAAAAAATGGTTGACCTCTCTGCCATCTCAGAAAGGGCCCGCTTTTTAGCTGGTACCTGCCTGAACCCTGCCCCTATGCCTTTACCACTTTGTGGATATTTAAGCTCTGAGTAAAGTGAGCAACAAAAATATATATTCAACACACACAACATCCCCATACAAACAACACTACAAGCCTCTATATTTGTTTCAGCACCTGTAAATAGCCATTGTACTCTAATGTATTCAAATTGCTTGTGTTTCTCACAGGGTTATTTATAAAACAATGCATTTTCACAAATTAAATCTGAATGAAAAACTGAGGCAAAAATAACTGACTTGGAAAAATTCTTCAACTAAGCCATAGTTACAGGGTTATTCCCGAAATATAAAAATGGAGGCAAAAATAGCCAAAACGTTTTTGCCTGCTAGCATAATGCAGTTTATGCAGGAAAAAATATGCAGAGACAAAAATGCCTTTACCTCTGTTTCACAATGGTTTTATAGCACAACAGTGATTTAAAGTTAGAAAGTATTTCACCTTTTAAATAAAATGTTGTAATGCCATATATGTATGTATTAAATTTATGGGGGGGAAAAAAACTAATTTTCAGAAATGAAATGGAACTGCAAAATTGCTTTGTCCTTATATACAAGGACGGATATGCAAACCCAGAGGTGGAGTAAAAAGTTTTCTTCAATGTGGTATATCAAGCAGAGCATACAAATTGTTACTTAGTAAGCTGTGAACAGAGGGGTAGCATCAGTAAAGAAGAGACACAGACGCGTTTTGTACCAATAATGCAGTTCCTTCTGAGACCAGTTTTTCTGCTCTATATTTGATTTACCACAATAAAGAAACTACTTTTTACTCTACCTCTGAGTCATGATACCTGTCCTTTTGTATGTGCGCTGTTTCTTAATTATTATTTTTTTGGATACCTTGTTAAGAGGACTCGGTCAGCTTGAAGTTCCTCTTGGTTTTCAGTGGGCAGAGAATCACCCTTCCAAAACGCATATATGGATTCTTTTCCTACTTTTTCATACACTGCTGTGCCATTGTCTTATATTATTCAAAAATAAAATGCCAAACTTTATATATTGTTCATTTATACACAAAGCCCAGTAGACTTCTATCTACTACTTGAAACTGCTTTGTATAGTGTAAGCCTTACTTGTATTACAGTGTTATGTTATGTTAAAGAAACTTGTTTGTATCTGTGCAAATTTGTAATCAAGTGTTTCTGTTGTAAAATGGTTTTGATCTCCGATGTTATATTTTAAAACAGGATGCGTGCAAATAAAGGTATTTTAGTGCTTTTACATTGTGTTGCTTTCCATCGGAATTAAGTAGACACCAAATGCAAGTTGTCTTTTTATTATTATTATTTTATTATTTATATAGCATTCCGTAGCGCTGTACAATGGGTGGACTAAGAGACATGTAATTTTAACCAGACAACTGGACGTACAGGAACAGAGAGGTGGAGGGCCCTGCTCAATTAGCTTACATGCTAGAGGGAGTGGGGTATAGTGACACAAAGGGTAAAAGTAGGGGTATGAAGTAGGTTGTTAGAAAAGTATTCATTGAGGGCTTAGTAGGTAATTTTTGACAGTTGCAGTAGACGAGGGTATTGGGGATAAAAACCTGCTAACATTTTAATTGTTAAAGTGCAATTAGTTTATTTTAACTGGTTAAAAGACTAATGAAACAAAACAAGTATCATTCTATCATAATAAATATGTTCCTGGACTGCTTGTAGATATTACTTATTACTAAATAGGCAAGATTGGTGTTACTTTCTGTGATTAAGTTTATAAGAAATCATCTAGCTCCACCTAGTGGTTGCAAGTGGCACCAAACCATTTTTTAGCTTTAAATATATTACCTTACAGGGCAATTCATTTAAATGTCATGAGTCTAGAATGATGTCAGAGTTATTCACTAAACTGAGAATTCAAGGGGACGTTCACATTTTTATTTTTTTATAAATTCTTTATTTTATTGGTTTTTGGTTTTTGTATAGTGTGGGAAAGGGTTTACAGAAAGAAGAAATTGGGATGAAGCATTAGTTTTACATATAACATTTTGTAACAGTTTTAACAATTCAGGTATTGATATTTTCGTTGAGCTGTCGTGCCTAGTTTACATCAGTTTTCTTGGGTGGTGCTTGACATGAGTTTGTAGTACCCAATTCTGGGAAGGCTTGGGGGTCGGGAAAGGTGGGTTCGGGCAGCGGAGAGGAGGGGGTGTCTGATGAGGATAGAGGTTCATTTGTTTTGTTTGATGACCTTTCATCGTGTGGGATTGCATGCAGGGTCTTGGGCACACCGTGTGTCTATTCCTTTGGGGTTTTGCTATTACGTTTTGGGTAGCATATGTTGCCTTTCATAGGGTCTTCGCGTGGGTCCCTAGTCTGGTTGCTGTGTAAGTGAGTGCATTTTAATTAGGGCGTTGTAGGGTTGGAGGACGTTCACATTTAAGGTAAACAAGGGTACGTTCACATTTAAGCCAAACTTAAAAAATTCTCTGAGACAAGTAGGCTTTTAGTTCAGCTACTCTGTCCATAAATTTGAAATTAACTTTGAATTCTCACTTTAGTAAATAACCCTGTAAGTGAATTTCAAATTTAACCCCTTAAGGACCGAGCCAATTGTACAAGTTTTGATCACAATAAAACATAAATAAATCCTGGAATTTGCGCTTTATGTTGTTCAACCATAATTCACCTTTTTCATATTAATTGCACCCACGCTTATTTTATATCATTTTGTTCAGGAGAAACAGGGCGTTTTCGTTTCATGTCAAATATTTATATAGGAAACATAACTGAATGTGAAAAAATCTAAAAACATATGAGAAATTAAGGAATTTTGTTATTTTTCAAGTTCTGCATGACATCTTAACTGTTAATGTTATAAGACTGTTGAATTTTACTAAAATAAAATACACATATTTGTATTCAGAAATGTCTCATGAGTACAACAGTACCCCTCATGTACGTGTTTTATGGGGTTTTTTAAACTTACAGGGGCCAAATGTAGGGATTTCTCCTTTTCCATGTTTGCTCATTGAAATTTGCCAGATTGGTTTGTTGGGCCTATGTTGCTTTTGAGTCCGTATGGCAGCCCAGGAGTGAAAATTTTATGGTGATTTAGAAAGTTACAGGGTAATACATAAGATTTGCCAATTTCTGTTTTTGCGAATTGCTATTTACCAGATTGGCTATGTTGCCTTTTGAGACGGTATGGCAGCCCAGAAATGAAAATTAACCCCACCATGACATACCATTTGAAAAAGTAGACAACCAAGGGTATTCAAAATTGGGTATGTCCAGTCTTTTGTATTAAATCCGTTTTAATTGAGGTCAATATAAGGAACAGTTTACCCACGCAGGGGCTGTAATGCATGGTTTACAAGCGAGTTGAAATGCAGAATCGGTATACCAGTGGCATTTAAAAAAATTTCCCTTCGCAGAGGCTTATAATGTGTGATCTCTGTTATTGTTGAGATCGGCATATTTAACGAGTTTCCCACGCAGGGGAGTGTACGTATGTCTAGTACTTATTTTAAAGTTAAGTTACAGCTCGTTTTTTGACATATTCATATTGATAAAACAATATGGAAACAAACATTAGTTCCTACTCTGTCAGAGGTTTTAACCCGTCTTGACATTTCGAGTAACTATGAACGAATGGCGAACTGTTTACAAGGGTCTGAAGAAAAATATATAAAACGATGGCACCAATGGCAAATGATTAGAGATGTGCATTTGACAGATACAAAATAGATCAGAAATTAAAATTGCTTAAGAGCCTTAAGTTTAGTAGCATATATTAATAGCATGATAGTAAGCGGAATACTAAAAGAAATCTGGCGCAGATTAATACTGAATTAATTCTGTGTAATATGCCCCATTTTAGATTAGGTCAGGCCTTTGGCCATGAAATATGACATAAGTAATTTGCAGTCAACACTTACCAGGTTATCAAGTGGCTACTACCCTTTTTGTCTATTTTACATTATGTCACCATAAGTATTGTTATTGGTATGTATGGTTATATTGCACTTTTCTCTTTCTTTTTTTTTGGCTTGCAGTCAACTATGTAAATACCAAATGTATAAATTCCAACTGTGTAATGCATAGTGTGACTGTGTTCAGATATACATATATTTCTGTTTATATACATATATTTCTGTTTAATAAATAAATAAAAAATTGAAACATAAAAAACAAAAAAAAAACAAAGGTCAAAATAGCCAAACTAAAGACACAGCAGATCATTTTTCCAGTTTAGCTATTTTGGACCAATATTTGAAATTCACTCTGAGTTCCTGCTAATGCTTATTAGTTAATATTATTATTTTCTATAGCTTCTTGTAGAAAACATGCACTTCACAAATTACACTTTAAATTGCCCTTCACAGAGCCATAACTTTCTGATGCGTTTAGGAATGGACTCCACAAGACTAAAGTGGTATCTGCCACCAAGACATTAGCAGCAGATCCTGTAAGTCCTGCGAGGTGGAACCTCCATGGATTGGATCTGTTGTTCCAGCACACCCCACAGATGCCCAATCGGATTAAGATCTGTGGAATTTGGAGGCCAAGGCAAACCTTGAATTCTTAAAGGGACACTATAGTCATCTGAACAACTTTAGCTTAATGAAGCAGTTTTGGTGTATAGAACATGCCCCTGCAGCCTCACTGCTCATTCCTCTGCCATTTAGAAGTTAAATCCCTTTGTTTATGAACCCTAGTCACACCTCCCTGCATGTGACTTGCACAGCCTTCCATAAAAACTTCCTGTAAAGAGAGCCCTATTTAGGCTTTCTTCATTGCAAGTTCTGTTTAATTAAGAATTTCTTATCCCCTGCTATGTTAATAGCTTGCTAGACCCTGCAAGAACCTCCTGTATGTGTTTAAAGTTCAATTTAGAGATTGAGATACAATAATTATTTAAGGTAAATTACATCTGTTTGAAAGTGAAACCAGTTCTTTTTTTCATGCAGGCTCTGTCAATCATAGCCAGGGGAGGTGTGGCTAGGGCTGCATGAACAGAAACAAAGTGATTTAACGCATAAATGACAGTGAATTGAGCAGTGAAATTGCAGGGGAATGATCTATACACTAAAACTGCTTTATTTAGCTAAAGTAATTTAGGTGACTATAGTGCTCCTTTAATCATGTTGCCTAAACCATTCCTGAACAAGTTTTGCAGGGTGGCAGAATCCTGCTGAAAGAGGACACTGCCAACAGGGAACACCATTGCCATAAAGAAGGGTACATGGTCTGCAATAATCTCTAGGTAGGCGGTACATGTCAAAGTAACAGCCACATAAATGGGGGCGTGGCCGACCGTTGAAGAAGACGGCCGCATGCTAGGTCGGCTCCGGAACCGCAGGCACTAACAGCAGCAGGGGGACGAACACCCAACGCACATGGGGAATCCCAAACGGGCGCAGAGCGCCCACACAAGCACCGGAAAGGCACCCGCCCCGAGAAACCGAGGCCGGTTTCAGAACTGTTTAAGGATTATGCCGGCCGCATGCCGGAACAAGGGGAGGCAAACATGACGCCGATGGCAGGAGAGCACCTCTCCAACCCGCCTAGTCCAGCTGCATCTGAGACCTCAGCAGCTCCTGCGGATCCAGACATAAAGGACCTGCTTAAAAACTTACCCTCCAAGGCAGACCTCGCCACTATGCTGGAGAAACTGGAATCCTCCTTCCAGCACAAGATGGAGGGCCTGGGAGCCGAAATCCGGCAGATAGGCCTCCGTGTCCAAGACCTGGAGGGAGACAGGGGACAGATACAACTTACCACCCTGACAGACCGCCTAGAAGCCCATGAAACCCACATGTCTCAGCTTCAAAGATCGCTGGATGACATAGACAACAGGGGGCGCAGAAACAACCTCAGAATAAAGGGTCTACCCGAAAAGGAGGCTGAAAACATACCAGCATCACTGCAAGAGTTATTTAATTTACTATTAGAGAAACCACCATCAACACCGATCCACTTTGACAGAGCACACCGCTCATTCAGACCTAAAAGCAACAACAGGGAAGCCCCAAGAGATATCATATGTCGCCTACACTACTTCGCAGACAAAGACCGAATAATGAAGAAGTTAAGAGACTAATCCGCCACTACTGTTCCATGGGCACGAGATCCAGATTTATCAGGACCTCTCATGGCTCACTCTCCAGGCATGGAGACATCTAAAACCGATCACAGACCAACTGCGTGCTAGAAACATCAAATATCGATGGGGCTTTCCCCTAGCCCTCATCGTCCCGCTCAAAGGGACCAACCACATCATAGCAGAATATAGGGACGTGACGCCATTCATAAGAGCACTGAAACTTACAGAGGTACGCATTATGGACTGGTACGCCATGGACCCAGTGCAGACCATGGCTCGACTCCCAAGGGAACAAAGAAGACGCTCACCCCCCAAGAGGCAGAGGAAGGGATCCTCGGACGAGCGTGGAAGAGAAGATCTTCCGCCAGCGCAGAGGACATAAAGGAATCACACCGAATGCTAGGCCCCCCCCAAAGAGGAGTCACGCAACTAACAATGAACCCAACACAAAAAATACTTACACGAATAGCGACCTACAGCAAGCTCCTGATACACCACGCCAGGCCCCAGCTGAATTGCTCCACCACCGCAGAGCAGAGAGTCACGGCAACGAGTGGTAACTCTCGGACACTGCCACCGTGGACATACAAGAAATCAAGCGGGGCCTGACACTGAGACTTTACTCACCTGCCGCCCCTCAAACCCACAACGAGGAGTAACAAAGACATTCATAGACCAGGTTGAATGCTATATGTCTACTGGTTAGGTTTTGAGGTACTGTAGCACTTAGAGACACAGGCTACCTAACTCTCCCCGAATGCACAAGGGAGAGACATAGTCAATAGCCACTCATTACACCCCCATACACATGCAAGGATGCATCAGAGAGGGGGTAAAACAAACAACACAAAAAAAAAATCTACGCTCTAAATTGGAGTCGTAAAGACATACCCACCCGGGAACCTAGCCCCCAGCCTTCCAATACACCACACCCCATAACGAATATTGAACTTAGGTTCAACCCCAGCTCCAAACGAACACGACAACTACAAGTGCCTGCTCGCCCACCGACACACGCATGCCACACACCAACGATACAGCACACACACCCTAGCAGCCAAATCAGCTGCATCATCACCGCCACACCTCACACTGCCTCAGTGCCAGCGACGCCTGCTAGCTCATCCGCAGCGACACCTGAACCAGTACAGGTGGAGTTGGACCAGCACCTTCACAGAGGCCCCACCATCCCAGCAATACCAACAAACACACACAACCTAGAATTACTGTACATAGTTACGTCCGGATCTATACTCTACCCGGACAAGGAAAACCCACGCCCCCAGCCACCTCTGGCAGGGTGTAAGACCAGAGTTTTAATTTCTGTTTGTTCTTGTTTATGTATGTTTATGTTTTTGTTTATCTTTCAATCGCTAACGGTGTAATTTCCTTTTGCAGTAGAGGTTCCCTACAAAACGTCTCCACGGACAAGGCCACACCACAAACCGATACCGCTGCTGCCCACGGCTCGGATGGGGTGATCCACCCATGGAAAGTGGGAAACAGATCACACAACAAAGTAGGTGCTCAAACAAACACACCACTACACCTCTAGTGTCACACCCTACATATGGCCCTGAATATTGCCTCTCTTAATGTTAAGGGACTTAACACCCCGAACAAGCGCAGGTTACTGTTAAGGGACCTGAAATCACGCAAAACAGACATTGCCCTTATACAAGAAACCCACATACCCAGAACAGTGTCAATAACCCTGAAAGACAGATACTTCCCACATACCCACGAAGTGAGAGCGCTACACAAACGCGCCG